CACACAGAGACGCACAGTCACACACACACACACACAGACACACGGACACAAACACAGACACACAGACACACACAGACACACACAGACACACACACACACACGCACACACACGCACACGCACACGCACACACACGCGCACACAGACAGACGGACGGACAGACAGACAGACAGACGGACGGACAGACAGACAGACAGACAGAGACAGAGAGACAGAGAGACAGACAGACAGACAGCCAGACAGACAGGCAGGCAGGCAGGCAGGCAGACAGACAGACAGACAGACAGCCGCCTTTCAGACAGACAGACAGACAGACAGACAGACAGACAGACACACAGACACACAGACACACAGACACACAGATACACAGACTCACAGACACACAGACAGACACACAGACACACAGACACACAGACACACAGACACACAGACACACAGACACGCAGACACACCGACACACACACACACAAACACACACGCATTTATACACCATCACCGCAACCACCACCTTAACTTGACTAGCAAGCACAAAGAATCCACACTCATGGTGGGGTTATGCGGCTTTAGAATTATTGGCGTCATTTTCATTGTTTCTACTGGTATCATGACTTTTGCTGATTGTTCAGCTGCTAGTATTTCCATGCTTATCACTACCGGCATTCCTCTTTTCATTCTGAACAAGCTTACGATGTTGCACATGCCTTGTCTCTGTCACTGACACTGATTTCAGGACGTGGGCAAGCTTGGTGGTTAACATCTTATGGGTCAGGTTTTGGGACGTATGTATTCCGGATGCAAGTGCATAAGGTATTGGGATTAACGGGTGTTTCGGCCGTGCCTGCCGTGCAGAGACATGGCCACTTGATCTTAGGTTTCTGCAGTTCAAGATTGCCCAAGCGCTGCAAATGACGCCTGGCCGGGTGTCCGTGATTTGCGATGACAAGGTCTGGACAGATCCTGAAATACAGCTGAAGGACTTTTGGAAGGAAGGTTGCACCCTTACTGCGCTGGAAACCCCTGCTTGGGGAGTCGCGCCTCGGCCTCATTTGGGTAACCCTAAACCCTACAACAGTAAGCTTTGAACAGTGCACCACTTGAAAAGTATACCAAAGTAGCCGTTCAACGACCGACCGAACCGACGAAATTCCGATTAGAGGACATGTGACATACAGCTTTAGGTTGCAAATATAGACTTGAACTCTCAGCTCTGAGTAGAGTGCCCGAAGCAATGAGCTCTTTGACCACCTAAAGTCCCAACCCTAGCCAACAGTCCCACCTCCCCAAACCCCCAAATCCACAAACTCCCAGAGGCCAGGCTTGAGACACTCAAAGCCAAGTTTCTCAAGCATGGCAAGTTGGAGAAAGAGGCAGATGGATGCCGAAAGCATGATGCTGAGCTGCCGGACGGCCTAGCGCTCCCATCCATCCTCATTGAGCTGATGCCGCGGGGCTGCACCCTTATCTTTTAGCCAGGTATCACCGTTTTCTAAGACGTGCATCTAGGCTACGGGATTCAGGCTTAAGGGTGAGGCTTTCTGGGGTTTGAGGTCCGAGTTTGAGATATGAGGTTTGTGGGGATTTAAGTTCGTCCTGCCCTTCTACGTGACAAACAGCATCGTTCTCTTCCAAAATAGAAGTGGCCCGCTCTCTGGGCCAGGGCCTCTTCCTGAGCCGAGACCAAAGACATCCGTCACAAGCAATAGGACTAACTGGGTAGCCCTAGGGCTCCAGTTACCTGAATAGTAGGTTACTGGGGTACATAATAGAGGGTTAGTAACCCACTATTTAGGTAACTGGAGCCCTAGGGTAGGAGAAGCTCACAGGAAGATGGGGGTCAAGTGGACCTTCAAGGACTTATTCCACCTTGAGATCTTTGTGCTGACAGACGAGGCTAACCTATCTATTTTCGGCGATGAGGAGTGTCGCGAGGATTGGCGGGAAGAGCATGGCGATGACACCTGTGCAAACACTTGGTGGCTTTGCATTGGGAACTCGTCTGAGTATGACTACTACTACGTCAATGCCAAAGAGGATTCACCAGATTTCGGTCAAGTCCGGCACATAGTGAACAACTGCGATGAGGAGAGCATTTACACTCAAGCGCCTTTCGACAACTTCCTCGACGCGGTGGAACGCTACGTTGATGCTCAGGAGAGGCTCCAGACGGACAGTGACGAAGAAGGCACCAATTTCAGTGAGTACAATCGAGAGCCCATTGGACGCAAACCACCAAAGCGACACAGACTATGACCCTTGTTGTTGACAGCCGCCAACCGTTACACACACTCTCCATGAGCAGCAGGCTCCGCTGAGAATCTGCTCGTAGAACAAGTATACCTATAGTCTCCATGGTATTTCCTTCTTGGAGTTATTCTAGGATCCTGAATAGCAATTGGCTAAACCAGAAAAAAAGGAACTACAATTCCGACCATAGGTAATCTGCGCTTACAGCCGGAGTTGGTATCTTATTGCGGAAGGCTTTCGCGCAGAGCGCCCTGAGCTTCCTTCGTTGGCCATTCCAAACTGAACCGCTAGGACCAAAAGTCTTACACCGTACAGGTTTAGAGTTCATGGGTTTAGGCTTCAGGGTTTAGGGTTACCTACACTGTAGTAAGGCCTCTGGGACTGAATCCCTTCATCAAGGCCTGTGCGACTTCGTTGTGTGCTCAATGCTTCCATTGCATTGGGCGCCATGGCACCGTAGTTTGCGCAGAAACTGGCCCGCTGCAATGTGCTCATCTGCTCGGAGGTAGGGTCTGAAGATTCAAGAGCCTTAAGCATACAAATACGAGTTTCCGATTTCGTGTGCTACATATGCAGATGTATGTATGTATGTATGTATGTATGTATTCGTTTGCTGATATGCTTGATTGTTTTTTGTTGTTGTTGCTTGCTTGCTTGCTTGTTTGCGTGTGTGTTTTTTGTGTTTGTTCGTTCGTTCAATTGCTTGTTTCTTTTAATTTTTTGTACGTTCATATGTGTATATATATACACACATACGTATGTACATATTGTTATGATTATGATGATTATTTTTTCTTTTGGTAAGTGTATACATATACCATATATCATATCTCATATCTCATATATCATATATCATATATCATATATCACATATCCTATATCATACCATATATATATATGTACGCACATCGATGGAACCGTATCACGATTTGTTCAGACTTCCATATTAAGGTTCGGTCAGGATTTGAGAATCGCATCTGCAAGTCGCCTAGCCAAGGCCTGTACTTTCATCCTCTCTGGCCTGTGCTTGAGTCGTCTCTGAGCTCAGGTCTACTATGCTCTGAAAAACGTCGACAAGGCAGCTGCCCATAATGTACGCAGAAGTCATGAAAGCAGGTGCATTGACAGGCCGATTTCTGGTGGCTTTTCACCTGGACTGCGTGATGATCGGGCTAAGCCAAAATAATACGGCAGATCACACCGTAAACCCTACATCCTAAAAACCATGAATCCTAGAGCTTGAACCCTAAACCGGAGATTTTTCCGAAGTTAAAGGCAGCGTTAATGTTCAGAAGCTGAAGAGATCAGCCAAGACCCGCAACATTTCATCCACTTTATACAAGTTCAGAGTTTAGGGTTCACGGGGACTTCGGGGTTACGGGCTTAGTGGTCGGGGTTTAGGGGTTCAGGGTTTAGAGTTGACTCTACGGCTGTTTGGGATACGGCTGATTCTTCGAAGAAATCACAATGCCTAAAGTTTCGTGTTCGGTACTGTTACAAAAGAAGTGGCACACTGTCAACAAGACGTGCTCCCTGTAATCGTGTTTTTGTCTTAATGACGTTGTGCCCCAGTGTTCCTTCTCAATGCATGAAGCCCTGTGGAAAACCATTGTCGGAACAGGACTGGTCCAGAGTTTTTTAGATACATCATACCCTAGGGCTCCAGTTACCTAAATAGTGGCCGGGTTACTAACCATATATTATGTACCCCAGTAACCTACTATTTAGGTAACTGGAGCCCCTAGGGATACATCATTAGGACTGCAAAGCGAGGCGAAGGAGACCCTGGAAGCTGACCAGCGTCGACGCGAAGTCGCGCGAGATTTGATCTCTTCGGGCCTTGGCCCAAGGGCTTTGGCTTATACTCTTCCCACTCTTCCTTCTTCCTTCTTGGGCCCTGTTGGAAACGATCTGGACTGGAAAATGACATCGGCTGTATATAGAGCACGCAGTAGATCAGTAGGAGCGTCTGGGGATCCGAGTATCGGAGCTACAACGACTTCAAGACTTCCCGAAGGCGAGGCGTGCAATGCCCTGCGACCTCAGGATGTGGGTTTAGGGTTTAGGGTTTAGGGTTTAGGGTGGTTTGCTTTGCAACTTATATACCGACTCAGCCAGCCTAAACCCTAAGCGCCCGAACATGCGAAACCCAAAGCCCTAAACCCTAAGCACTAGGCCCCACTAGGTCCTAAGAGCTAAAGCCCCAAACCCAGTTTTAAGCACAAGTCAGGGGTCTTTTCGATACAAATGTAGCCTATCTGTAGAAACACTAGCCTCTGGGAGTCAAACAGAAAGAGCAAAACGGCAGGAGTATGAGCAGGACGCAGCACTACACTCGTTGTCTACGCTTGCAGCCATGTGTATGTATATGTCTGCACATGTGTATATATATATAATACAGATTACATACATATATACACACGTGCACATACATACATATCGTGTTGACCGAGGATCGCGATGAGGTTTTCGTGGTCTCGATTGCTTCGAGATTCGATGTAATGAATTTTGGGAAACTTCCTATCCTGAGACAGGCATTTTCGACCCTGCCCCCTAAACCCGGAGTCCACACACAAAGCCGCTGACATCCCCAAGCCTAAGACCGATGCCCGGATGTTTCATCGGCTGTCCAAAGCTCTACACAGAGTTCACGACGAGTGCTGAACCCCCGACACTCCACTGTAAGACTCCCAAGCTTTTCTAAATGCAACGGCTCTGAATCCTAAACCCTATAAATCCTAAACCCAACGGCTCTGAATCCTCACCCGGAAGCCAACACGCCGAAGCTGAGGCCCGCGGGAGCAACTCCATCTCTCAGAGGGTGCCCGTAGTGGCATCAAAAAGGCTGCCGACGGTTTAGGGTTCCGGGATGTACTATGGGGGCTTAAATAATTACCAATACTATTTTGGGGGGGTTCCTTATTATAATTATAGTACAATGGGCCCCAAAACCCTATTCTAATTATTAAGGAGCCTACAATAGGCGTTTAGGGGCTTCCGGCTGTGGAGTTTAAGGGTTCAGGGGCTGAGGTGTTTCGGGGTTTAGGGTTTTTCATATAGGGTCGCAGCCAATACTCATTCAGCCAAGCTTGAGAATGTGAAGGCCAGGTTCTGCCGTCCATAGAAACCAGAGATCTGGAATCGGACCCCTAAACCCTAAACCCTAAACTTAAAAAAAAACCTAAACCCTAAACCCTAAACTTAAAAAACCCTAATCCCTAATCCCTAAACCCTAAACCGTTGACAGGCATCAGCTCTTCACGTGAACCTGGACAGCTGCGGTTGACACCCAGGTAACATAGGGGCCCAAAGAATGACCAGTGCCATTTTTTGGCTCCTTGTCCTGATATTTAGGTAGTTCTCTAAATCAGGGTTCTTTTTCAGGGTCCCCGTTATCAGGGTGCCGTACTATCTTGGGACATAAGTAGGGGCCCTAATTTGGAGAACTACCCAATGGAAGCATAAGAAGGCATACTATCCCCCCAAAACCTCCTTATTATTATGTTGGTCGTTCGAACCAGGTTCGGG